GTGTAATGCGTTGTTGTCTTGCTAGTTTTTATAGCAAAATTGTGACACTAAGAATATCTCTTTGATAATAAAAAAAAATCATGAAAATTAAACTCTTGTTGTGAAATGAAGAAGATGCGGAATAAATTTAAGAGATAGATATATTATTGATAACCTCTGAATACTTTTTCTTAATATCTGAATTTTTCTGAATGGTATTTACAAAGGATTGATCACCCTATTTATACTAGTTGACTAGGAGATGAATCATCAAAGAATGATTCTACATAATTTGTTGGCAACATCAAACCTAGCCATCTGTCTATTACAAGGATTGAAATTGGATCAGTGTCCTGATGACAAGGATGAACAGTTCACATTTGTCATTCTCAGGAATTCACAACACTCCCCCTTGAATTTTCATCCTTGAATAGGTATTTGTTATTTTAAAATTTATTTGTAAAAAACTAAAGTTTAAGGGGTAATAATTACGACTTATAATGTCTTTGTATTTGGATGTACTGTCTCGCTAAAAATCTTATCAGGAAAAACCCAGTGGGATCAAATAATCCCCCTGAAATTAGGATAAATTATGAAGACGGTGCATGCCGATTTTCTGTACAAGTTCAATTCTATGAACTTCTTCGGGGGTAAAGATTTGGTGAAGAGATGAGCCGGGTTTTTACTGGATTTGATTTGTTGAATGTTGATCGTCCCTTCTTTTTCCAGATCGTGAGTAGAGAAAAAATTTGGTGATATGTGTTTTGTTCTGTCACCCTTGATGTAGCTTTCTTTAATCTGAGCTATGCACACAGTGTTGTCTTCGTAGATCACATTAGGTTGAATAGTAATGGGCTTCATACCACATTCATTTTGGATGTGTTGAATCATAGATCGAAGCCACACACATTCTCTTCCGGTCTCATATAGTGCAATTAACTTCGAATGATTTGACGATGTAGTTGTCAATGTCTGCTTCATAGATCTCCACGAGATTGCGGTGTTACCATAAGTAAATACGTACCCGGTTTGTGATTTTGTCTTTTGAGGATCTGATAAATATCCAGCGTCTGCATATCCGATTAAAGCGGCTTTTTCATCTTTGTGGTAGAATAGGCCGAGATCAGCTGTACCGCGGAGATAACGGAATATGTGCTTGATCCCGTTCCAATGATGCCTCGTTGGACATGAGCTGTACCTAGCTAATAAATTTACAGAAAATGCAATATCTGGTCTAGTATTGTTAGCTAAATACATTAACGCTCCAATAGCACTCAGATATGGTACTTCGGGACCGAGTATTTCTTCGTTGTCTTCTCGGGGACGGAATGGATCGTCATGTATGTTGAGAGATCGAATCACCATTGGTGAAGTTAACGGATGAGCTTTGTCCATATAAAATCTCTTCAAAACTTTCTCGGTGTAATTGGATTGATGAATGAAAATTTCATCCTTCAAATGCTCAATTTGAAGTCCGAGACAAAAATTGGTTATCTCGAGATCTTTCATTTCAAATTCTTTCATAAGATATTTTGCAGTATTTTCAATCTCATCGGGAGTTCCAATAATATTTAAGTCATCAACATATACTGCAATTATGGCGAATCGAGAATCTGATCGCCGAATGAAAACACATGGACTAATTGGATCATTCTTATATCCTTCTTTGAGAAGGTATTCACTAAGATGATTATACCACATTCGTCCAGATTGTTTTAGCCCATACAATGACTTTTGTAGTTTTATGGAAAACATTTCTCGAGGTTTTGAGCTATAAGCTTCAGGCATTTTGAATCCACCGGGAACTTTCATATAAATGTTTGTATCGAGTGAACCGTATAAATATGCAGTCACTACATTCATTAGGCGCATTTGCAACCTTTCAAAAACAAACATGCCAATGAGAAACCTTAATGTAGTTGCATCAACTACTGGAGAATAGGTTTCTTCATAATCAATTCCTGGCATTTGAGAAAACCCTTGGGCAACAAGTCGGGCTTTATATCGGTCCAAAAACATTTAAAGCCCTTACGCACAAATACCCATTTAAAGCCCACTTGAGAAAACCCTTACGCACAAATACCCATTTAAAGCCCACTGATTTTACACCTTTTCGTGTAGGGACTATCGGTCCAAAAACATCACGTTTTTCAAGTGATTTTAATTCAGCCTGAATAGCTTCATTCCATTTTGGCCAATCGTGTCGTTTCCGACATTCTTCAATTGACGTTGGCTCATTGTCATTGTTTTCATTCATAACATTTGTGGCAACGGCATAGACAAATATCTCATTAATATCAATATCTTTTTTATTCCATTGCATTCCGGTAGAAATGTAGTTTATTGAAATTTCATAATTATCAACGTTTATATCGTTATCTGGAATATCTTCTTCGTTTAAGGAAGTTGGATCATCATTTGAGATGTATGTTTTGTCAATATCATTTTCTATGCCAGTATTTTCAAATTGTTCATTTTCTTGTTCAGAAGGATGAACATCTTTGGCATCACAGATCAATTCCCGCCTTTTAGTTTTTCTTGGTTTTATGTCTTTTGATCCAAGTGGCCTGCCACGCTTTTTGCGTATAGAAGAATCATTTGCAAGAGATTTTTCAAAATTCTCTGTTGGGATTTCAATTCTGGTAGGGACATTCATATCAAGAATATGTGACTTTGTCACTGATGGATAAGTGTACTCGGGGGGTAGCTTATCTGAGGGGTTATTGCAGAGAACAACTAGAGAGAAGTCAGAGCAAATGAGTAAGAGAGAGAATGAGTATTCAATATGAATTCAGCGTGGTTTACAAATGGGGAAAGGGGTGTTATTTATAGCAGCAATAAATGCTAGATAGGGACACGTGTCAACAATTTGGTCGTCGATGGGTCACTTCAACTGGGGCGGCACTGACACTCGCATGTGGCCGCATTAAATGCGGTGATTGGACGTGACGTTTGTACTTGGTACGGTGATCCAGCGCATGTGATGGGAAGATCCTGTCGAGGAGGATGTCTTCGGTTGTAGATGACAGTCCGAAGGCTCTGCGTACCGAGGGCTCAGAGTGTCGAGGGCTCTAACTGCCGAAGGCTACTGTTTTTGCCGTTTTCTCCCAGACACTTCGAGTGCTTAAAAGCAGTTGTACTGTAAATTTATAAGCCTTCAGCTATGGGCCGAAGGCACCCTAGTGTACATCGTGGGCTGCTTGGCACTAGGGGCGCTGTGATTTGGGTCTGCTGTGCTTCCTGTGCTTATTGGGCCTTTGTTATAGTAATAAGAGTATGTGGGCCGGGGGTCCCTGGGGCCATATACTCCATCAGGAGTCCCTCACTCCTTTTGCCGAAAGGTACTTGAGGGAAAAGGAGTAATTGCGTTTATCCTCTGATGTTGTCTTGCTGTAGTTTGTAAAACTGTGAGAGATTTGCGTTCGCACGCGATTTTGCTGACGGCAGTCCCTTAGCCCCCCACATTTTGGGACTGAAGGATGTTGATGTTTTGTGAGAATAAATTTTTGCATTTTGTGATTTTCCCGGAGGGGTCCTCCAGTCCCCCACTCCTTGAGGCACATATAATGTGGTGAAAAGGAGTAGTGTGGTGCCTGTTCTCATCATGGGGCCGAAGGCTTGTGCTTTTTGTTTCATTTTGGGGGGGATGCCTCGTTAAAAACCTCATTAGGAAAAACCCTTTGGGAAAAATCCTAATGAGGGAAAAAGAGTGCACCGAATTCCCCCAATGATGAATCAAAAAAGTGAATGTAACACCCCCAAATTTCTCACCCAAAATTACATTTAAATAATGATTTATTGGAAAGTATTACTAACTTTATTTGAAAACATCAGAAAATATGCAGCGGAAAATTTAAAGAGAAATAGGGGTGCTACCGCCACACTCGGTTCTAACCTAACCGAGTGCACATGCTAACCACCTTCAAAACTAATTTGAACTCCAAAACATATATTTACTAAAGATCTTGGAAATTCAATTTACAAACTACGTTTTCTAGTGGATGCTCTCTCGAAATCAACATCTTTATCAATTCATCACATGTATAAAACAAGTACAAAAAGAAAAATAAAAGAAACAAACATTAGCAATAATGCTAAGTAAGTCCCACCTAACCTTTTAAAATATTAATAATAGTATATATATAAATTCGTACAACCATTAGTATAAAAATATATTCAAAACACTTTATAAATCATAAGTAAACGATATCTTTACAAAATCCCAATCATATAACTCGTGAACCATAATAATTCCAAAATACATGAAACACCAAAATTTCTCCTCTATTGAGTTTCTCCAAAAATCACTTTGTAACTAACTTCCTAGTAATTTAGAAGGGCGGTGCTCAACACTCTGGTTGAGCCCGGTGATCCGTTGTCATGTACGGCCACCCCGTAACTATCGCCGGTACCACAACTGCTCCTTGGAAACGGAAACAATTACTTTAAGTGTGCACACCCCCTAGAGGTATTCCAAGCCCTCCGGGTTAGTAAGTCGATCTGGGTAGCCGGGATGTTTTCTACCAACTACCCCACCTCAAAAAATTGAATGATTAGGAGCTACTACTACCACTACTACTCAAAAGCCGGGATGTTTTCTACCGACCGCCAATTCACCCAAACCAGAACCACCAAAAATTGAGTAGTAGTAGACCTAACCATCCTCCACATTTTAAGGGACGTGGAAAACCAGCATAACGGATTTCTCCCGTTTTGCTCACCTTTTATGAAAATATTTATTTTTCTCAAAATCAATCGAAGTTTATACTTTAAAAATTCCTTTTTCATCAAACTCCCACAACAATAACAAATTACGTACTATTACAAAATCTTCCAAAATCATATACAATAACTCATATCAACAAAACAATATATCAACTAATATCTCAAATACAACTCTTTCGTATAATAATATTCACTCAAATTCAGCACACATAAATTCAATTCTCAAATATGCACACAAAAATACTTAAAAGAGATCACGAAGAAAAAAAACTAATTTCGGTTGATGTGAAACTTACCTCAAACTCGAAGTACTCTAGACAATTCTTCTACGACTTTGCTCCTCACTCAATTCACCTTCTATTAAAATTCAACAATCAATATCTTCCAATCATACTAGTTAAATTTATCTACTCTTTATTTATAAAGTATCCATCCTAGTATTTTCTTATTCCACAAATTATTAATCTATAGTCCATAATTTATTATTAATATTAATATTAATATTAATATTAATATTATTATTATTATTATTATTATTATTAAAATTCAGTCTAGCCAATTAAATAACTTTATAAGTTAACCAGATCAGTCCATTGCCTCATTCTTACGGCCAGCCCATGCTATAACTATAGTCAGCCCATAATTAAAATGAAAGAGACTTGGCCAACTAACATATAATAGCATACGGAGCAATACAGAGTAATAGACGTACTCTTCGTCCGTCGTCTTCCCCGGCAGTTCAACGCAGAACAAGAAGGTGCAGGTGTAGCAGCGGCACTCTTTCGTCGACGTCCTATGCGGTCTACCCCTCCAGAGATACCATTGGTTCTTCCTCCGGCAAGAATTCAGTCCGGCAGCAGTACTCCGGCGAATACATCGGCGGGAACGGTTCGGCAGCTTCCTTCTTCCAGGCGAGCGTCGTCAGCCTTCTTGGTATCTGTTTTCTTGGCGTAGCAGCAGCCTCTCACTCTGGCATTCCGGCATAGCAGATCCTCCGGTGGCAGCAGGTCCGGCTTTTATTCTCCCAACATTGGCCTACGTTCTTTTTGTCAGTGGCGCGCAGGTTCTAGGCAACGTTCCGTGGCAGCGGCGCTAGGAGACGATCCGATTTACTCCGGAGGCAGGATGGAGTCGGAACTGCGGTTGACTGCGGCGTACTCCTCTTTCTCGGTGACGACCCTCTTGTCACGCCCCGGACCGCATCCGAGCCACGTAGACAACCGCCATACAATCCGATAAGGACAACAACAGTTCATCCCTATTGAATTGTACAAGGCGTCCGATTGATTCTATTGCCAAACCGATTAGTAAACACATACAATCAACATCAATATCGTAATCAAACAAATGCGGAAATAATAATATGTTTGATACTTAGTCACATGTGGCAAACACGGGCACGCAGGCCCCCAACTGTTTTAATGAAAATATTGTTCAAAAATCCATGAGCAGTTTATATATTTGAAATAAGAATGGAAGCACGAACCACGTCTTCCTTCTTGATCAATCACCCTAGGCAAAGGTGCAGGTCGTAGGACTCTAGCCTCAACCTGAAAAATGTGAGGGCCCCCGGAGGGGTCAGTACTCCATAGAAGTACTAGTGACAAGCAGGCTATATGAAGAATAACTAATGTTCCAGACACGAGACCCAAAAATAGGGTGATATATATATATATATATATATATATATATATATATATATGTGTGTGTGTGTGTGTGTGTGTGTGTGTGTGTGTGTGTGTGTGTGACTCATTCATCCGATGATACATACTGTATATATATTTGTAAAATACTCGACCCGTAGGTCATTTCATTCAAAGAGTCTTTTAGAGATAAAGTTCTTACCTGACCTTTCTCACTCATTTCCTGAATGCCTAGCTCACCAGCTACATTCTACATTCATAATATCCTACCGAGTTTTGGGAGCATTTCGCATCCCGGGGATACTCAACCCCAACCGAGTTTCAGGATCATTTACCGTCCCGGGGATACTTAACCCCAACCGAGTTTCAGGATCATTTGCAGTCCCGGGGATACTCAACCCCAACCGAGTTTCAGGATCATTTATAGTCCCGGGGATGCTCAACCCCAACCGAGTTTCAGGATCATTTATAGTCCCGGGGATGCTCAACCCCAACCGAGTTTTAGGATCATTTAATGTCCCGGGGATACTCAACCCCAAACTAAATCCTTACCAAACCCTAACCTGGATATGGCTAACCTTTCGTTCCTTCAACTATGGACAATACCTAGCCCTATGGTCATATAACCAACCTTAGGAACCAACGTGGGCGGGTCCAAACCTAAACGGCCCACATTAACCCGCTCAAAACTGCCCGTTTTGAACATAACCCAATACCCAATCGAGTATTAACCCATACTCGGTCGAGTACAGGAGACAGTAGTCCACAAAGCTGATTTTCAACAAATACCCGGTCGGGTATGTGTCAATACCCGGTCGGGTATGACAGTTGACTTGTCGGTCAACACTCGTTTGACCACCCAAACGGAGTCGGATTAACGTGAAATTTTATACACATATACTCCTTGACGTGCTTGATCCAAAAATACCATTTTGGATCCCTGGAACATCACACATAATAGGTTATCACACTTTTAACCACCAAACCTACATAACATGCTTTTCAACTATGTTTTATGTATAATCATGGCATAAGCAAACACTTGGTTATCTTTACTCATTTCATAAAACATATCCTTGATTACTTTAGGTAATCTCATGCCTCACGCAAAAGTTATAAAGCATAAAGTCGTCTTCTCACCTTAATGAAGCTTATGAAGTTCTAGCCTTCCCGATTTAGCTCCGGCGAAACTCCGGCGAACTTCAACGAACTCCGGTGACCCTTTCAACTCCGTGAAAGTTCCTTGGATACCTTAGACAAGTTGCTAACAAGGTTTTATCATCATAAAACCCATATTAATACAAATAACCTCAAAAAGGTTATTTTCCGGCGTACCGGTTACTTTGGCTTCTAAGTCCGTTCTTTGACTTAGAACCACCTTCCAACCCCTCATTCTACACTTCCAAACGTGTAGAACAATCCTAGGGTGTGAAATATGATTGAATAATCATATAAGAGGATTAAAGAAAACGAAATGGGATTAATGGAGTCCTTACCTTGCTAAACACAAGTTTTCCTCTCCAAAACCAACTTTTCCTCTTCTCTTTTCCCCTCCTTCTTCCTCCTTAGCTCAAGTGCGTAGATGGTGGATGAAAATGGAGTATTTCCAGACCTTATCTCTCTTCCTTAGGTAGATTGGCCGAGCTTATGGGTTTAGGAGTGATAGAGATACTCCTTTCGGCTTATTCACCAATAATGTGGAGGGGAGGGACCCTTCTCCTATCACATTTGGTCTCCCAGTCCTTTCTCCCCTCTTTCCTCATGTTAATGTGCGTCTCCCCTTACTCATTTGCAGCCCAAAAACGTGGGTTGGCCCCCACTTATGTGGGAGGTCAACCCTTTGTGTCCCGGGGTGTACAATCGGCCCCGAAAGTTGTATTTTCCGGACTGTTTTAAGTATATTTTATTTTATCGGGTCAAATAAAATATAACACTTGTTACCAATCCTTATTGGGCCTTAGAATCAATATGTGCTCCCCAACTTTAATTTAGAAGTCTACGGAATCCCTTTTAAGTATATTTTATTTTATCGGGTCAAATAAAATATAACACTTCTTTACCTGTCGATCCATGATTTTCACCGGCTGCACCGTATAGTGTAGGTCTTCTCGGATTTCCACCGGTGGTTTCTCAAGAATATGTGACGGGTCCCGCACATACTTTTTGAGCATAGAAACATGAAATACATTATGAATCTTTTCTAATTATGGGGTCAACTGAAGTCGGTATGCTACAACCCCAATCCTTTCAAGGATTTTGAACGGACCTATGTAACGTGGGTTAAGCTTACCCCGACTGAGGAACCTGATGATCCCTTTCCAAGGTGATACCCTCAGAAATACCTCGTCACCAACCTCAAACTCCAACGTCCTCCGACGTTTATCAGCATAGCTCTTCTGCCGGTCTTGGGCAGCCTTGAGCCTATCATGTATGACTTTTATCTTCTCCTTAGTGATCTCGACTAACTCGGTGCCCTCGAGCTTAGCCTCGTCGACCTCGTCCCAACACAATGGTGTCCGGCATTTCCTCCCATACAATGCTTCGTATGGAGGCATGCCTATACTTGCCTGATAACTATTGTTATAGGCGAATTCCACTAAAGCCAACTGATTGTCCCAGCTCCCCTGGAACTCCAAGGCACATGCCCTTAACATGTCCTCCGAGATCTGAATCACCCGTTCAGATTGCCCATCCGTTTGAGGATGAAACGCAGTGCTAAACCTCAACTTCGTACCCATGGATTCCTGGAACTTAGGCCAAAACCGTGATGTGAACCGTGGGTCTCTATCCGATACTATAGTAACCGGAACCCCATGCAGTCTCACAATCTCATCTGTGTACAATTTGGCCAACCGCTCGAGCGTATAGGTAGTGTTGATAGGTAGGAAATGAGCGCTCTTGGTCAGCCTATCGACTACCACCCATACTGCGTCGTAGTTCCTAACCGTCCGTGGTAGACCCACCACGAAGTCCATGGTAACATGCTCCCATTTCCATTCTGGAATGGTAAGTGGTTGTAGTAACCCTGCTGGGTGTTGGTGCTCTGCCTTGACCTGTTGACAAGTAAGGCAACGACTCACGTATTCTACAATCTCTCTCTTCATCCCCGACCACCAGTAACTTTCTTTCAAGTCCCGGTACATCTTTGTACCGCCCGGGTGCATGGCATACGCAGATGAGTGAGCCTCCTCAAGGATAGATTTTCGGAGCTCCTCATCCGATGGCACACACACTCGTTCCCTGAATAGTAGAAGTCCATCTTCTCTCTCACGGAAACCCTCGACGGGCCCCACAAGCATCCGTTCCCGGATCTTCTGAAATTCCTCGTCATTGCCTTGACATGTTCTGATTTCATCTAATAAGGTGGGTCTCACCTCAAATCTGGCCAATAGCGCCCCGTCCGTGGATATCTCCACGCGTGCCCTCAATGCCCGTAAACATGTGAGTAAAACCCCTGATGATGAGCTCTTTCTGCTCAGTGCATCGGCTACTACATTAGCCTTGCCTGGATCATAGTCAATGATCAAGTTGTAATCCTTAATCAACTCCATCCATCTCCTCTGTCTCATGTTCAACTCTTTCTGAGTGAACACATACTTCAAGCTCTTGTGGTCGGTGTAAATGTGACACAACTCCCCGTAGAGGTAGTGCCTCCAAATCTTCAATGCGAATACCACAGCACCTAGCTCCAGATCATGTGTGGGGTAGTGTACTTCATGCTTCCTCAACTGCCGAGAAGCATAAGCAATTACCTTCCCATATTGCATCAGTACACATCCCAGTCCCTGAATGCTGGCATCACTGTAAATGTCATACCCTAACCCTTGCACGGGTAAGGCAAGCACTGGTGCTTTGGTCAAACGTTTCTTTAACTCAAGAAACCCCTTCTCACAATTGTCATCCCACACAAACTTAGCCCCCTTTTTAGTGAGCTTCATGAGTGGAGATGCTATCACCGAGAACTTTTCCACGAATTTGCGGTAATACCCCGCTAAACCGAGGAAACTCCTTATCTCCTTCACGTTCTTGGGCCTCTCCCAATTAGTGACCGCCTCAATCTTTGAGTTATCAACAGAAATGCCCGAGCCCGATACCACATGCCCGAGAAAACCGATCTCCCCAAGCCAGAATTCACATTTAGAGAATTTGGCAAAGAGTTGCTTCTCCCGCAGTGTTTCAAGCACAAGCCTTAGGTGTTTTTCGTGCTCCTCTTCATTCATGGAGTATATCAAAATGTCATCAATGAATACTATGACGAACTGGTCCAAGTATTGGTGAAATATTCGGTTCATGAGGTCCATGAATGCCGCGGGGGCGTTCGTAAGCTCAAACGACATTACTAGAAACTCATGGTGACCATACCTTGTACGGAATGCACTTTTGGGTATGTCACTCTCCTTGATCTTCAGTTGGTGGTAGCCTGACCTCAAGTCAATCTTAGCGAACACCGTTGCCCCCCGTAGTTGATCAAACAAGTCATCGATCCTTGGCAAAGGATATTTTTTCTTTATTGTGACCTTGTTCAACTGACGATAGTCGATACACATTCTGAGTGTACCATCCTTCTTCTTTACAAATAGTACCGGTGCTCCCCATGGTGAATGACTCGGCCTGATGAATCCGCTGTCCAGTAATTCTTCTAATTGCACCTTCAACTCTTGAAGTTCAGCCGGTGCCATCCGATATGGAGGAATCGAGATGGGTTTCGTACCGGGTTCTACTTCAATGGTGAACTCAATTTCTCGGTCTGGTGGGAGTCCCGGGAGTTCTTCAGGGAAAACTTCTGGGTACTCACTCA